TAATGGTCGCACTTTGCTCAGTTGTATTTGTTGTCTCCGATTGCGCAGTTGCAGTGCGTACTTTCATGCGCGGATCCTGATGCACCAGTGCATTATTAAACTCCTTAGAATTATTCGGTTCCTTATTCTTTGAGTTCCTCCAAAACATTCTTTCACGAATACGTTAGATGAATAAGTATGTACGCGAGAACTAATGATAACAACTAACTGTTTATATCAATATGTATGTATGACACCACACCACAAAATTTTATCAGCACCGAAGTGATTAGATAAGAGAGCGCTTTGCCTTCTATGATCGACTGCATTGAAATTGTAAATTTGGCGAAATAACAAATCAAAAATGAAACAAACGCAAAAAGTTGTAATGAAATTTTGAGAATTTTGTATCATAAATTTAATTTTTCATTTGATTTAATTTAATATTTCTTTATTTGATTTAATGTTATTCCTAGTCGGAAATCAATGCTTTAAGCGGCGTGTATGCGCACAAAAAATTTAAATGCGAATAGAAGCTCTCACGATTTAGTAAATATTTGTTGTGACTCAGCCACTTCGTGCTGTACGGTTTTCTTGGAAGAATATAAGAGAGACCGGAACAGGTTTTTAGCTAAAAGCCTTGAGTTTGTAGCTGCATTTATTACAAACGATTATTCTTAATATCTCCATATAACATAAAATATATAAATATTTATGTATGCACCACTATACACATACTATATATATTAATGAATTTGTACTGTATACATCTGCATTAGGGTGTGTCCTTATTTGTATTGATAAAATTTTTGTGTAAGCTACAAAGCAAGACTCTGCCATCAATATGTTCATTTGGTTACAAAAATGTGCTGTGTGAAACATTTTTAAAATCGTACAACGGAAATAAAATTTGTACATAGAATAGGAAAAAGAGCGTATAAGTATTTGTTTGAAATAATGGGTTTTTGCACGCGTATCTTAAATATCGCTACGCCATTTTAATATCTGGTCAGTTTTGGAAGTTAGAGAGCCTTTTCCACATAATTTAAGGACTTCTGACGCATGGCTTTCCACTATCCGCGAAGTCCTGCTTTATGGGTAAAAGTTGAAAAATAAGGCCCACCCTAATGTATATAAACATTCATACATGTGTACATAAATATATACATACATACATACAATGTAAAAAAGAGGCGAAGGTATTTTTATTGAAAGTGAAGTTCCTAGTAGAGTCCGACCGATTAATCGGCATCGGCATCGGCTAGTATCGGCACAAAATTGAGCATCGGCATCGACCTTTTTTCGCCGATTCTTTGGAATTTCTTTTCACATATTCAGGTGAAGCGACAGACAACAGCCAACATCAAAAAACATTTGCAGATAGCTCACAAAAATTATTATTTTTTGTTTAAAGGTGTTTCACCATTTTTTCATACAAAAGTATGTTTGACAATTTTCTTTTATACGGAGGACACTGCCAGCAAAAAAAAATTACAAAGATTAACATTATTTTATAGCAGCTTGAAACTTGGGCTTCATTATACTAGAATTAAATGGTTTACAAACCATAGCAAAATTCTGATCAAAAAGTTTGAAATTTTGGTGAAAGTAAGCAGAATTTTTCTAATTTTTGTACAAAGTTTGAAATATGAATTTATATGGTGTTTGTTGTATACCAGCTAGACTTTTGTAAAAAAATAATAATAAGCATTAAATAAACAAAAGACAAATGTCAAAACCGGTAAAAATATCGCAATTCATTTATTTCGTGGACCACTATATGTATGTACATTAGGGTGGTCCAAAAAAAAGTAAAGTCGGAAATTTAATGCTCTCACACCCTAGAATTGCTCTATACCGAAAAAAGTATATCCCTGTTTTTTGATTTCAAAATCAAAATATATTTAGAGGTCGCTCAAAGCGCTCAAAGTTTCCCATGTATTTTGTATGGGGGAAAAAAGACTTTTCGTAGAAATGGCATAGAATCCATGAAAACCAAAATTTTTCAATCTGAAAACTCTGCTTCTCTTCAGAAGACTTTATTTAAACATTTTTTTAATTTTAACTATTTTTAAAGGGTCTCCGAAAAATCCAAAAAAAAATCAAATATACAAAAAGAAATATATAAAAGAAAAAAAGAAAAAATAGTTAAAATTAAAAAATGTTTAAATAAACAATTGGGCATTATTCTCTGAAGTCCTCTGAAGAGAAGCAGAGTTTTGAGATTGAACAATTTTGATTTTCATGGATTCTATGCCATTTCTACGAAAAGTATTTTTTCCCCCTTACAAAATACATGGGAAACTTTGAGCGCTTTGAGCGACCTCTAAATATATTTTGATTTTAAAATAAAAAAAAACAGGGGTATACAATCCTAGGGGGTGAGAACATTAAATTTCCGATTTTACTTTTCTCCCATACATTTTCGGACCACCCTAATGTACATACATGCCTAGCATATAAGTTCTTATGCATTGAGTTCAAAAGAGTGTATTTTAGTACAAAACGAAATGAAATTGTATGTTCCTACATACGTATGTAATGTTGTCTAATAAGCCGATTAATTCAATTACACTGTACAATGGTAGGGGTCAGTGATCGGGAAGGATTCAAACTACCGGGGAAAGTTATATCGGTAAAAAAGAAGTTATACGTGTCCCGGCGTTTCGCCGAAATTATTAGGTATGTTTTAAATAAAAAAAAAATATGTTTGTGGTCTGTGCTTATAGGTTTTAGAGCTTAGTCGTGGTACAAAATGCTCTTTCCGATAAAGTGTTCTAGCATGTGTAACCCAATCTTCTGTGGAATACAAGTTGGGTGGATTCGACAGGATTCGCTCCAGTATTGTGTTTGTTTTTTTGTATGATCTAATGTCTATGTCAAGTTGAAGAATTAGGTGCAGGTTTAAGCAATTTCTTTATTTTTAGGTACAATGTCAGAGTCAAAACAAAACCTTTTTTAGTTTGGCACAGTAAACCAGTACCAACAAAAAAGTTTTTGGTTGTGGAAAACCATGTATTTTCTAATATTTTTAATCTAATATAATTAATACGGGGGTTCTTCTTTTCCATTTAGAAAAATCCTAGTGGGTGAGAGCTTAATATATTTTTTTTTTTACCACCCTAATGTAAACTGTTTGTCAGCCAATAGCTACATATGGAGTGGTGGCATGATACGAAAGGAATGTCCTAAGCACAATGGGGGGATCGCTTACCAAGTTTCATCGGCTGGTGTATAGCTGAACAATGGACGCTATGTGCTCTTATTCCACCTCTGCCCTGGAGATCACGGACGGCTAAAAACTGACGAAGGTATAGGGACACTACATCATCATTCAAGCAGAGGTTTATATCATCAGTGATTTTTGATTGGAAATGATTCTGCAGACGCATTTAAAATACATCACATTTCATTTGCAGCGACAGTTAGGCTGCACAAAAAGCCATATTCTCGTGTGAGATCAAATCATGTATGGTAAGGAAATGTGTAATGAGGTTGATCTCCTTGGGAGAACACAACGACAGGCCAGCAGGAATAGCAGCAGCTATTCGACCAATAGGCCTAGAGCCCTTGCTGTTTGACCTCGCTTTATCGGGAAAGAGGTAAGAGCAGAGGGACGGTAACTTTAAGGAAGCTATAACTTCAAGAGATCGAGGGATCTAATCCCACTCCGAATACCAAATTTAAGATTTATAACAGGTTTTCTAAAGGATTAGTGAAGGATACGAGCCTACATGGGGACTAGTGCAGACGACTCTTGCCGCTGCTGAGACTCGGTAGCAGAAACCCCATTTCATCTCCTTTTACGGACATCCACTCTCTTCCCGCCCCCGAAACTGTTGGATTTTTTTATACCACAGGACCGGTATGGGATTCTGTGATGAGCCCTGAGGGAACACTAGAACCAAGGTCGCAGTGCACATTCCTTATAAAATCTATCTAGCTATTTATTTATGGAATCGTATGAATTAACACCTTGCGGAACACAATCACAAAGTTCAAATCAATAAAAAAATAGCACGTAATTAATAGCCCTGACCGATCGATGTACATAGGTATGCCCACTTCGTTGAGTTACATAATTTTGTGCAATGCAATGACCGATGCCGGACGCCTCACACACACAACTACATACACGGCGAAGCGATGCACACAGCGACGTAATGTAGCCAAAAATGCAAGTTATTTTGACAGTTTGTAGGCTTTAAAGCCGGGAAGCCCAAAAAGGTGTCAACACGAAGGCGGCTGGGCGTGCGCATGCCGCGCAGAGACGCGTCGCTTAAGTCAATAGCTGCGAAAATTATTGCGAATAAAGGGTAAAGCGAATTTTGTAATTGAAATACTTCGATTACCATTTACTAGAGTATATATGTGCATGTACATTAGGGTGGGTATTTTTTTTTTAATAATGCGCGTATCGCATATTAGTATTCTATGTACGTGTACTTCTAAGCAAATTCACCGAAGAAGCCATATGTCTAAAATCAATTTGTAGTTTGCCATATTTGCGAAAATAGCTTTCGAAAAAATGGGATAATTTTTACTGTTACGTCCTCTGGCGGAGGTTTTAAGAAAAAGATTAGCGCAGAAATGGATTCTTCATACCAAAAAACCACTTATAGCATGTTTTTATACAAATTTCAAGCACTTCTTTACGACACTACAGAAAAATGCTAAGAAACTTATTTTCGCAATTTGGCAAACTCCAAATTGATTTTAGACCCACGGGTTCTTCTGTGTTATATGCGCATAGTCGAAAAAATCTCTCATACAAATCGAAGCGCCCTAATTTACATACATATTGTATTTTATCGAATGCACCATGTATTTATTCTTATTATTGTTTTGAAGCGCAACTCGGAAATCGCATTGCGTATGCAGGAAGCGTACGCGCAGGTGTATGTATGTCTTCAAGCTAGCTGATATCGCGTAATCGCCTATGGCGAGTGGGTTAGCGTAGGCGACAGTGGCAAATAGTAACGCGCGTTCACGCAGTCGCATTGCGGGCGTGCGGATGCGCATCGAAATGATTTGTAAATTCATGCCAAAAATTAAATGCACACAGACACAGTTAATGTCAATAAAATTAATTGGGCACACAAAGTAGACAAAATTCAGCCAAAACCGAAAGTAAAATACTTACAAAAATTGTAAATCGAAAACCGAAACGCACACTGTGCAGCGCATTCTGGCGAAATCGAAACTCGTTAATCGCGAAGTGGCGCACGACTCCCCACCACCACATTTTGCATGCATATAAAAGCGTTTTTTAATCCAAGCCACTATGTCAATTCAATACGATTCCCCGAACGCGTAGCACAGAGCACGGATTAACGCGAATACTCAAACAACTGATCTTATAAATCACATCACATCGAAATGCGCAGCTTACTCGTGATCGCCTGCACCTTAGCCATGGCTATGGCCATGCCTGAGCCTCCTTCCCGCTATGGACCACCGCCAGCGCCACAAAAACAATATGGGCCACCACCCTCGGCACCAGCGGAGCAATACGGCCCACCACCAACACAGCCACCCTCGCAGCCACTACCCGTTTACGGTCCACCAGCACCCTTCTACGGTCCACCACCAGCCACTGAAGCTATTGTCACCAAGAATGTGTACGTGCATGTGCCACCAGAAGAGCCAGAGCTGTATCAGCCAGCGGCACCTATCCAAACTGCAGTGCCAAAGAAGCATTACAAGATCATCTTCATCAAGGCACCAAACCCACCAGCGCCAGCGCAACAAGTGCTCCCACCACCTGTACAGGATGAACATAAGACACTCGTTTATGTGCTTGTGAAGAAACCAGAGGAACAACAGCCATTAATATTGCCATCACCTGCGCCAACCGAACCCAGCAAACCAGAGGTTTACTTCATCAAATATAAGCAACAACAAAAGCCCGCTGCTCAATATGGACCACCACCAGCACCAGCTTCCGAGTATGGTCCACCAGCGGCGGAGACATTTTAAATACCTAGCAAGTACCTTCAGAGATGTGGTGTAGACGATGCTACTTGTATGTACATAGTTGAGCGCTTACTATTGTAAATAGATTTCAATCCTCCTACTTGTACTTAGCACCTATGTACATATGTATGTACGTACGTACATATGTATATGATTTTTTAAATTAGTACAATTTTTTAAGCACCTTCCAGACACAATTTTTATGCGCATAATGTTGATTTTGTTATTTTTTGTTTTTGTTGTTATACCAAAAGTCCTATTAAATTATGACATACTTTAATTTAGGTCCATTTGGTTTCTTGATTGAGGGCGGTATGAGGGCTAGTTTTATGGTGATTCTTTCTACAAATTAGAACACTGTCCTGTGTAAATTAAAACATAAAATTTCTAAAAATTGTGTTTAGTTGTCTATATTTAGTGCTTTGACGAGTCCCCATAATGAAAACGATCTATGCGACATTTTCTTCAAAATTTTCCTTTTGATGCAGAAATCGATGGCTGAGTGGAAGATCGACCTATCTCGGCTGCCAGTTCGAANTTGTAAATTAAAACATAAAATTTCTAAAAATTGTGTTTAGTTGTCTATATTTGGTGCTTTGACGAGTCCCCATAATGAAAACGATCTATGCGACATTTTGTTAAAAATTTTCCTTTTGATGCAGAAATGTTCCTAGAGCATCTAGATCCATTGTTGCATCAAAAATAAAATTTTGAAAAAAATGCCGCTTACATCATTTTGGCGGTTATGGCTCGAAATTATGATTTGACGATGAGTTTTGCTGGATGGTTGGTTTTCTCATTGTCATTACACCCTCATGCATAGGTCATCNCTAGAGCATCTAGATCCATTGTTGCATCAAAAATAAAATTTTGAAAAAATGCCGCTTACATCTTTTTCGAAATTATGATTTGACGATGAGTTTTTCTGGATGGTTGGTTTTCTCATTGTCATTACACCCTCATGCATAGGTCATCAGCTCAATAAGACTGTGTTTGATAAGGCTGCTTTAAAAATAGTGGAATATCTTGTCATAGGCCTATTGACTTTGGCTCTAAATGCTTCAAGCAAGAGAAAGAAGTTATTGTACCTAGAAAAAAAAGGCGCGAAATACACCCGAAACAAAACTTAGTGTAGGTTGTAGTTAAGGTCGAGTACAACAATAGTTCCTGAATCATCCATTTTTTATTAAAAACCAGTCATTCATCTTAGCTGATTCACTTGTCTAAAATCAAATCTATTTGAAAAGAGAATTTATAGATCTTACATATAATAACACGGTGTTACAATGATCATGAACTGACCTAGTTCACATCGGTCGTAGAGCTCGTTGAGTAATTCACAAAACTGCGTCTAAAATTTTTGTAACGGTCTCGAATGTTCGACTTGTTCTTAAAAAAACCATTTTTACATGTCTTTCCGCACTAAAAAAAAATTAGCTCGGTTATTTTTTACCCAATCATAAGATTCCGTATGGCTACGGAAAGAAGAATATTTGCATTATTTAAAGGAATAATGAGTTTTGTGAGCATATTGTAAATGTGTAGACAATTTTTGGAATAAATCTGAAGTTTACACAAATTTTTATTCTTTTTCCCACTTCGACCACCTTTATTTCCAAAATTTCAAAAGAAAATACTCGCTTTCAGTCATTACTTCGAAAATAATGTTTAATTCCGAGTAAAACTAGGTACCATTTATAAAACTCAATAGACAATTTCGGAAGTTATGAATTTTTTAATTTTTTTTCAAAAATTTCTTCTATGATATTTCACCGAAGATTTGAATCAGTTGTATTGGATTCTCTTTGAGGTTTCATTGGTTCGTCTAGTTAAAATAAAGAAAAATTTAAATTTGTCTTTTTATAAGAAATGTAATTGCTAAGTTCACATTTTACATTTTTTTTATGGTTTTAGTGAATCTAGGTACCATTCAAATTAAAAACTCTTTTCGACCTAATAAATAAATACCACTTTCTTTTGAAATTTTGGCAAAAATGTTGTAGAGGTGGGAAACATTATTAAAATTGGGGAAAATTATAGATTTATTCCAAACATTTTCCACATACATATTTGCAATGTGCACACAAAACTTATTACTACTTTCAAAAGTACAAACATTCTTCTTTCCAAGGTCATACAAAAATTTAAAATTGGTTGAAAAACAACCGCTAATATAAAACCTTGGTTTAAGTTGAGTTGGAGAAACCAGCCCTGAGTTTTATGTGTGTGAAACGGTGATGGGCAACGCCTTGCCAGCTCTTTTTAGCTTTCTACACATTTTGTATACACGATGTAGGGAGACAGAGGTGGCGCAATCAGCAGTACCGCTACTTTGTTCTTGGCGAATTTGACAGAATCAGCTGTTCGTGTGACGTCATTTTAGCAAACTGTTTGGATGTATGCAGAGATGTTTATATGTATGTAAATATGGCGACCTCCTTGGTTTGACAGTTAACACTCTTTCTCTCCTCTATCTCCAATTATTCTTTCCTATTCGTTGCTATCTTGACGTCATCACCCGCAGGAATGCGAAATCTTGTATTCTATCATTCTTGTTTTGTATAGGCGCGTGTAGAGTAAAAGCTCTCTCTGCCCATCGCTGGTGTAAAATGACTGTTGCACGGTGTAACATGGAGAAAAAAATTGGAAATTTACGTTTTTGGAGAATATGTTCAGTCTAACAGACAACTAAATTTCTCAAAAATGACGAAGATATGTGCCTTTCGATCTTTCTTTTGTATACCAACTGTATGAATTGATCAAACTTTGATTGCGTTTTCCCACAAAATATAAATTTTCAAATACGAGTGGAGGCTGAAAAGATTTGAGCCTAAGATATTAAAATAGCTGATAGAAATGAATAATAATTTTATTTTTCTATGTAATCTCCCTCTACTTTAATGCACTTCTTATATTTATCGTAAAGGGCAGTGGAAAATATTCGACGTAATTGTCTTTGAAATCATCATCCACTGCCGCCTTCGTTCCTTCTGCGCTCGAAAATCATAGTCCGCGGAGGTTTTTCTTCAAATTGGAGAATAGGAAGTATGGTGGGTGGGTGGTTTCTTCAAATCCAGTCACGCCCTGGGTANCGAAATCATCATCCACTGCCGCCTTCGTTCCTTCTGCGCTCGAAAATCATAGTCCGCGGAGGTGTTTCTTCAAATTGGAGAATAGGAAGTATGGTGGGTGGGTGGTTTCTTCAAATCCAGTCACGCCCTGGGTACGCCTTGCAACTCGCGCGTGTATGCCCCGTGCATTGTCCTGCAAAAACCGGACTCCTTGGGCCTTTCCGTTTCTCGACAACCACTTGACGCACTTTTATAAACAATATGGAATAAATAGTCTCCGTTTATTCTAGTTTTTTTTTTTTATGAACGAATACCTCCACACTCCCAAAACACAGCGGTACGCCCTGACCAGCGATTTTACTGAAACACTTGAATTCTAGGCACCAATGTTTGATGGTGGCAAACTAAGGTCCAGACTCCCCATCATCTGTGGACATCATATAATTCCGTTGCTGTTTTGCATTTTTTTTTTCTGTGAGCAATTTGATGAATGATATTTGCAACTAGTGGCACGGAGGTCAAGACATTAATGACACTTAAAGATGCTTAGGCTCAAAACTTGTAAGCCCGTCCTAATAATTCTCTATATTACTTAGCGTGCGATATGTATGTATATTTTTCACATTAAAAAAAGGGACACAATCCTTATTGCAATATAATTATTTTATTTGGCGATTTATGATATTTGGATTTTTCGCAATTTTATTTCATTTTCACAATTTTATTCATTGCCGCTGATATTCAGCCGGGCACGGGGCAATTGAACACCTCTACTTTCAAAACCCCTAAAGTACACATTTTGAAACCGACACTTGACGTTTTGCAAGCCACGCCTAAGACCTGGAAAATCATTGCTTCCCAATCCCTGAACCGTTAATGACTTCCTCAAGCAAGTTAAACTTTTATCAGGAATCCTCTTCCGGCAGAGGCTCAGCCTGTTATATCATCCACTACATCTTGCAGAATTTTTCTAGTTAATGATTCTCTTTGCTTGCCTTTAGCGCCTTCCTTATATAACAGAGTTAATGTAGTTGCTTCAATTCGATAAAAATGTCAGACTTCTCCGCAAAACTGCATCAATGATTTCTAGATGTTATGAATACATACATACATAAATAAAACACACAATTAACATTTCGACATTGAATTTTATTGATTTAGTTAAGTTTTTACATATGTTTATCGCATGTTTCATATGAGTAGTTTATCAGTTATGCTATACTATGTATAGTTTCTTTAATATTCTATTTTATTTTTGTATTTTGTATAGTTTTTGCATTTGTATATCGTAATATTTTAGTGTTAAGTACACGCATGTACATACATGCATATGTATGTAAGCATGTTTGTATGTACATATATTTACACCTTAATTTACTCGTGTTTGATGTTGGTTATTTTAAAATACATGTTTTTATGCAGGTATGTATCCACGCACACAATGTGTAAAAAAAAGTATTGCATTTAAATTGAATTTAAAATTCATAAGATGTCTGCCAATACGCATGCACTCACATGATTGTGCATACATACATACGTACATAGATATGTACAGACGGACATTGCTAGGTATATAACATTAAATAGTTTACTTTAACAGTTGTTTTATGTCCGAATTTCCAAAGTAAGCTGCAACGAGTTTGTGAAAAATTGAATGTAATTNGTAGATATGTACAGACGGACATTGCTAGGTATATAACATTAAATAGTTTACTTTAACAGTTGTTTTATGTTCGAATTTCCAAAGTAAGCTGCAACGAGTTTGTGAAAAATTGAATGTAATTTATATGTAAATTTTGTACTTTTCGCATGTGTAAGTATTTCCTGCAGATGCTAACATAACTAAAGTACTTAAAAATGGATTACTTAAACAAAAAAAAAAGAAAAGAATAATATGGTTGCCTGACTTATAATTTTATTTACTAAAACAATTATAGTTAGTGTTATGTTATTTTTGTGTTGCAAGCAAATTTAACTATGACCTACATAATTGTGCTCGATATACCCCGCGCTTGCTGCATTGCTAATTTGGTCACGTATTGAACTTAAGCCAATATTGATTTATGGTGATAATGAAAGCGCAATGAGTAATAATATAAATAGTTTTATTATTTATTTTGTAACTATTTTATTTATGTATGTATGGGGCATTCCATGTCAACCGAATTACGACCGCGATCGAAAAAAATAATTGAAAAAGGGTTCGTTTCGAAGTTTAAAGTGCCATCTTCAAAGGCTGTGTGTTGGAACTTTCTCTTCCTCTGGCACCACCAACCGGTACCGCATCGAATATTTTCAGGGCTAGCACATTTGCATCCATTAGTACGACATCACCAGCAGTTACACAGTTCATTGTTCGATCCTCTCTGGTACCCTCGAAAATGCCAAAGGCCGCCGCTCTTTTCCGCATACGGGGCCCAGAAATCATTACCGTACGTATTGGATCGTAAATGGCTTCTTCTTCTTCCTGGCCGAAATAGGCCGGACTTTTTCTCGGAGTAAAAATGGATAAGGTGTCAAAGTGTATATCAGGTGTTTCAGTAGTTTCTGTTTAACTGCTTATTGTTTATAACAATACCAGTTTGCCCCCACCCGCATCGCTGAGTGTATGAAATTTCTGTAGTTTATTTCAATAAAACTTTACATACTTATACTCAGCCAAAAAAGGAGATTTTCACTTCTTTTAATCTTCAAAATATTATTAAGTTAAAGTCTTCTTAAGCTTCTTTCGTCTGACGACCATGTTGTTCTCCAATATTTCAATTACCTAATTCTAGTTGAATTTGAATTTTGAACAGGTGGTAACTCTCCTCGTGTACTTTAGAAATTATTGATACCCATATATTAATAATTCATTTAGCTTATAAAATAATTTGAAGTTAACTTTACTTAATTTAATGAACCCTTTTATATAGGTGGCAACTCCATTCAAAATTATTTTAAGAGTTAAGATTTTTTAAACCGCTTTCGTTTGACACCCATATTGTAAAATTTCTTTTGTGTAATCAATTCACTCGAATTTAGTTATTAAAAGAAATGGCTACCTTATTTAAAATCTTTTGGAAAGTGAGCTGTCTTTAATCTCTTTCGTTTAACTCCCATATTGAAATTTTTTTTCTAATGAAAATATCGGAATTTGATTTTTCAAACAGGTGACAACCCTCTCAAAAAATATTTCTTTTAACGAGTTCTCTTAAACATTTTGCCATTTGACACCCGCATTGTGATAGTTGAACAATCCTATTTATTCAATTTAACTTTTTAACAGGTGACAACTCTTTTTAAGTGTATGCGTCTTACTACAAAACATTAAGCAGCTTCTCTTTTATATATGAAGATGTATACATACACTCTGCTTCACTTGCATAGGTCTCAGAATCTGAGCTTATATCTGGACTTGTAGGCATCGGAGAAGCTTCGTTTTAATCTCATTTTGAAAAATGATTAATTTCGAAGAAAATTGGCGAAAATGAAGAAAACAACTTTCTTACTTTGGATTTTTTTCCACTTTATATCATAGTTTGATAAGACTATTATTTTAATTCAGTTGAAAAGGCACAGTATAGTGGCTTTACACTACATGAAACCAACAAAAGCATACCATTCATTTTAATTCTACTATATAACACTTTCAGTATTGGATACTACATTCTTAATTCCAATGTATAGAAAAAACCCCTACGCGGATAGCACTGAACAACTGCCAACCATCATATGGATTGTCTGACTCGCAAACTTTTCGACAAATGTTAAAACAAATGCCCTTAAGACTTTTTTGTTTAAATTTTTCGTAATCTTGGAAACTTGAAATCTGAAACTTGTTATCTGAACTGCTCTAGACTGCGAATCGCGGTTCAGACCGCCATGCTCTCTTCCCGATCCTGGCGAGGAAATAAACAACGCCTGCCCTTCCAAAACTCGTGACAATTATTATTAAATCCGTTGTAGCCATCAAAATTATTTTTCTATTTCTTTAAATTTTCTGAATACAAGTGTATTGAGTAATTCGTAGTCCACATTTTAGTGTCATGAACACCAACGTTTTTCTTTAATTTTTGTCTACTATGTCGACAATAAGATGCTGACCTCGTAAGGTACTTTTTGTTATAGACGGTAATACGGGTTTTCTCCATTTCATGGTCTGGCTCCATTTCATTAGATGCTATGAGCCCGCTTCAGCCATTAAAAACATTTGCATTCCCTTGTGTTTTATTTACAACAGATCGCGTGCAAAGTCCTGGACCCGTGAACTTTTCCATTTAAGCATTTTTGCAGCTTAAAGTGCGCCTGCTGCCCCATCCTTGCTCTGTTATAGTTCTAACTGTCCTTTAAACTCTTAATTAATTAATTAATTAATTAATTAATGAGTGAAAATTTAATAACTTTGCTTTACACACAATGATGCTATTCGCGCTTGTGCCTATTCAAGTGAATCAAAATAACTAGTAAGCATAATTTTCGTGTAAAAAGTGGACTAAAATCCAAAGTAATTAAGGTGCTCTTTCATTTGCACCATTTCTCTTCAAAATGAGAATAAAACGAAGCTTCTCCAATGCTCACAAGTCCAGATATAAGCTCTGATCTTGAGGAACAAAATGTGTACCAATTCAAGTGAAGCGGAGTGTACATACATACATATATATTGGATTTTCAGACCTTTTACGTAGTGTGGCTAAAGAATTCTTTAATATTTACCCAAAATATTCTATTCATAAATGTTTTGGAAATTAGGCATGGCCCACTTATGTATATGAAATATGTATATCTTGAAAACCAATTCACAAATCTGTACACAAAATTTTTTGAAATTGTACAAAGTCCACAAAATATTTCTAACTTTAAGTTTTCGAAAATGACTCGCGTTATTTTTGTCTGATTTATAAAAATTTTCAAGATTTGTGTTATTTTTCATTTTCGACTTTGTCCTCCTATCGTCGCAGAATCCGTCCATGGTGTAATAAGAAAAGGTGTCGTCAATAGCGACGAGTTAGTTGTAATTTTGACAAGTTCGGAATGCTTATTTAGAGTGTTGGCGATTCTCCTTTACATACTACTATTCTTTAGTAAAATAGTATCTAAAATACTACATTTTCGAGATTTGTTAAATTTTTGTAAAAAAAAAAATGTGAAGAAATAAAAGATATCGTGGTTATCAATTAAAAAGAGACTTAAACAAAAGTCGTATGGAAAGGCCCTTTTTAATATTAAATAACTTTTGCTACATTGCCATAATATTCAGCCAAATGAACAATTGATGCACTTAATAGTGACTACTTGCTAAAATAAAGAATTCAATGATATTTTCGATATTTATGTGTTTCAATCTATTTAAAAAATTATTACAAGCTATGTAGGAAATTGCCTCATTTGACGACATTTTTTTTTTATTTATTAGTTTTAATAAATGGTCCAGCCCTTTGGAGCACGATACAAACATATATTCATACTTGAAAACTCCTAACTATTTATATAGTTTCCTAAACTTGTTTTGAAATAGTATGCACTAATGGAGGAAAAGTCGGACAGAATTGGTACATTTTCTACCACTACATTTTCTACTATATTGCAGGACTAGACGTCTCGAAAAAGTAAGGTTAAGTTACTGACGACACCGTCCGTTACTGATGATCCGTCTTCGTATTTGTATTCGTCTTCGTTTAAAACATGTCGTCGCTACCATGCCAAACTATCGAATATGAAAATCGGTACTTTTCAAGGGAGCAAAGAAACAGTCGTAAAAAATGTTGTTGACATTAGGAAAAAGTGTGGGATTCGACACTTTGTATCCTCTGCTTCTAAGCAGACTAGAAATTCGACGATTTTCCAAATTACGTAAACGCGAAACGTATCGTAAATGAAAAAGCATTTTTGCACATTCGATAGTTCGATGTGGTAGCGACGATGTGTCTTCGTCTTTGTCTTAGGCTAAGTCTTTGTCGTTAAACCTTAAGCAGAAGAAAAGGAAAAATGTATGCACTTCCGTTACATTGCAAGTGTCACAATTTGCGTGGCGATAATTTTGTTCACTACCCCCGCTAAAAAACCTAACTTCAAAAACAAAAATTTAAATAAAATAATGTAAAATAAAATAAACACTAATGATAAGTAGTTTATAAATATCGTCAAAAATCAACAACAGAAAACATACATACTTACATACGATCTTATGGTTACCGCAATATAGAAAGGTCCTATTTCGCAGGAATATAAAAAGCCGTAACTATCTAGAAATTCAAAATTCACTTTTTGATTGATTATCATACAAATCATCGAATTATAAGTCCCCATATCGTTTTAAGCAATAACAAAAATTTTAGTTAGTTACGGGTTTTTTGGATTTCAACGACTATATGAGCTAGGGCCTTTCTATATTAAGGTATCGATGTGTATTTATGTAGTAAATCGAGGGCTTATGTTCAATATGATCAATCTACATTTTTTCCAAAAATAACATTCCTATATAAAAATCCTGACCTAGTCAGAAGAATTAACTATTGAATTTCAAAATTAAAATTGCAGCTACTTACGACAGTTACTTAAGTCTCAGATGGGTTCTAACATCAGAAAGTAGTTTTTGTATTAAGTGCAGATATGTAGGTCGTTTGAATATAAGCCTTCGATTGGAATTGCCGAAACTAAACCTTTTTGTCATAAAAGTTATCTTATACATACATATATAATTGTAACCTTACAAGAGATTTTCAATTGCTCAACCGTTATTCACATTACTTCTTGGTAAAACAGTGGTTCAAATTAATAAATATTTATAACTGAAAATGTGAATGCATTAAGGACACAAGTAATTTTTAAGCAAAAAACAAAACCGACTTCAGTTCTCATATAAANTACAAAAATTTTAGTTAGTTACGGGTTTTTTGGATTTCAACGACTATATGAGTTAGGGTCTTTCTATATTAAGGTATCACTATGTATTTATGTAGTAAATCGAGGGCTTATGTTCAATATGATCAATCTGCAATTTTTCCAAAAATAACATTCCTATATAAAAATCCTGACCTAGTCAGAAGAATTAACTAATGAATTTCAAAATTAAAATTGCAGCTACTTACGACAGTTACATAAGTCTCAGATGGGTTCTAACATCAGAAAATAGTTTTTGTATTAAGTGCAGATATGTAGGTCGTTTGAATATAAGCCTTCGATTGGAATTGCCGAAACTAAACTTTTTTGTCATAAAAGTTATCTTAATGACGTTTGTTACTTAGTTCAGAAAATTTAAGTTCATTTTTTGGTAAATCCTCACTAGGTGAAAAACGCAAAGTCCAAAGTCCGTTTTAGTACATAAAACATACATATATAATTGTAACCTTACAAGAGATTTTCAATTGCTCAACCGTTATTCACATTACTTCTTGGTAAAACAGTGGTTAAAAGTAATAAATATTTATAACTGAAAATATGAATGCATTAAGGACACATGTAATTTTTAAGCCGAAAACAAAACCGACTTCAGTTCTCATATACAAATTTAAGATTATCGTTAATTTCTTCATGATCCAATGATCGGACTTAAACCAAATTAGAATGGGACTATCTATGAGGTAACTCCTTTCCTTAAAAAAAAAAGAATTATAGAAAACGGTTAACGTGGTCCAAAGTTATGCGGTAACATACATAAAAAAACATTCCGACGAATTGATGACCTTCCTTCTTTTTTTGAAGTCGGTTAAAAATAGGAAATTCTTCAGCTAAAAATATGGGCTGTGACTACATAAATTTGCATGTGGATACTTAAACTTTAATTTTCCAAAATAAATTCGTTTTACTGCATTTGAGTCAGGAACAAGTATACCAAGGTCTATGGCCGTATGCAATTTGTCTTTGGTAGAGAGCTGTGGTATACAGTGTTTAAAATTCTATGTATAATCTACTAGTACAGCAAAATATTGCATGTGTGGGCGTATTCATTTAAAATACATACGGAATTATTGTTATTACTACTTTTCTACGTTAATTTGTTAATTACACATACAGAGATGTCAACACGAATTTAGAAGCTCTTTCAACATCAAAACTGCGCTAAATACGAGTAGCTACTAGCGAATAGCATGGGTACGATTAATTGTATAATTTACGTACTATCCACAAACTCCGATTTCACAGATCTTTCCGGGTTTAGGTATTTAAATTTGTCAGAAAACACTTATTAAGAATATATTTCATCCATTTCGAAAATCTTCGAAACATTTATCACCACTTAGGATACCGTAGAGTTTTCATCACTCTCGTCAGGTTGTTCGAATGGATCGCTGTCCCGGCTTTCCATTAACGCCGAAACTAGCAGCGGAATGCTGCCCAAGACCATGCAAGCGCCCATACAATAGAAGCAAATCGCGTAGCTACCTGTAACGTCTCGCAGGAAACCTGCCAAAGGTGGCACTGAGATAGCGCCGATGCTCTGGAACATACGCACCAAGCCATAGCTGGAACTAATACGATCCGTACCGAAGATATCAGCTAACAATACTGGCATCAAAACATACCAGCTGCCCAAACAGAAACCATAAATAGCAGCGGATACACCTATTAAATACAGAGAATTCTCCGATGGTATGGTGAGTACGGCAATACCAGCGCCGAGTATACTGAAAGCCATATGTCGCAGTGTATATTAAATTAGTTTTTACTTATAAACAGGTAATTCGATAACGATGCTCACCAAAAAATATAAGTCTTTTTGCGATCAAAGAGTTGCAAATCTGACAACCAGCCAAGTCCCAAACGACCACATAAATCCAGCACAGCGCTCACGGCGACAAGGTAGCCAGCTTGGCTTTTGTTGTTTCCTGGAAGAGATAAGCATAGATAAAAAGCCAAAATAAAAATAATTTAAATAAATAGTTAAGAGTAGGACACAATTAGGATCAGAGCCCATTGTGATGTTGGTTCAGCAGCTTCCAATCCCTCCTAAAACCATTTTGAACTTCGCAGGAATTCTAGAAGATCTCTGATTTCCACGCAGATAAGGTCCACCAAGTCATCGAAGAATTGTCTACCTAGAGTGGAGAGTCGCCATCTGAATGGAGAAGGGCACTGGCACAACAGAAATATAATCAAGCGATTGCGCTCGCTTGGACATGTTGAACGCATGGATGACGACGCTCCGGTGAAAAGATCTTTAGATACGTCACCCATTGATGGATAACGAATGGACATGGAATGGATGATGGACAAGGCCTTATTATAAGGCGTGTAACTGGTTGTAAATTTGTTGAATATCGTAGGATGGCAATGAAGTTCTTAAGAGCTGGCATGAAGTTGATAAAAGCTGGGATGAAAAGCATTATGTGACTTTAGGTGGTAACCAATTTACGCCGCACAGTCGACGAAAAGCGGAAAAAAATCAATATCTTGCAAACGGATAGTCCGATTAAGCTGAAAATTGGTACACTGAAAATTCATAAAATGTCTAAGCTAAAACTGGAAAAAATTTTGAAAATTCTAATAGTTTTTTTTTCCAAGGTAACGGTGCGATTCGCCGGTGGCTACACTTTTTAATGACATTTATTTCAACTCATTGACTTTATTCTCAAAAACATTTTATTATTATTCCAAATGCTACTTCGACCAGTATTTGTATTTCATCAACAAGTGCTTTTACACAGTAGATAACACAATTGATTTCATCAAGATTTTGAGCTAATACGGACATTTGAAGACCTCAAACGGCCAAGGTGGCAGCTGGTGGCAGCTGATTTTACATCTATCTGATTGCGCAGAATATACTTAATACTAAAATATAGTACTCAGCTTGGAGAAGAGTGGAGCTTTTTTTATAGACCTCCTAATCGCATACCCTTATACATATTTTCTTTCGATTAACTGATTTATGTTCTATTAAGACCATGATAACTGGAGGAACGATATTTTATATTCTATCTAAGGTACTATCCATACCTAATATAAAAATCATAAAAGATTTTAAATATTGTTCAACCAGCTAAAGAACTTATTAATCAAACTTTTATAAAAAATAATCAGAAAAAACCTGCTGCCAGCAATAGTACAACTTTGGCGCAGCACATATATAAATAAATGAATTTCATTTTTTCAGAAACCTCATTCAATTAGCTATTCAGAAAAAATTTTTAAAAATATTTTTGTTAATTTTCATCATTTGGAATTTTTTCCGCCCAGAAACCACTGTGCGCCGCCTCCAAATGTCAATAGTATTTTATTAGAAGCTTTTCGTGCCAGAAGTACACTTGAGGGTTTGCCATTGCCTTCCGAGAGGATGCCGCTGATAGCAAAACCTTTTTATTTTATTTTGTTGGATGTTGCGCGTATCAGGGATAGAACTTGGGTTCTATCTATTGTTAGTTTGCAGCGCTAACAACTCCGGACTACCCGTAGACTTAATCTTATTGTGTGCGTCTTGGGAAGTACAGAGATTCCACCTTTAGAAACCTACTCCTTTTGTACTCTTGAGGACATTAAGGGGAAAAGGAAAAATCTGGCAGTGCTCACTTTTTCCTGCCCCATTGCTTATTTGATGAAGAAACATGGTGCTCACAAGAGTTCGGTTGCTCCAGTCGCGGTGGTTGCTTCCGTGGCAATACCCAATTCCGATATCGAATCGAATATTAAAATACATAAGCGGACGAAGGCGGCTTCAGCAAAACCGACGTCTAGACCCATGGTATCCTTTGAAAAAAAACCAAGGGCATAACTAGTGTAAGAGTTGATCTTTCTCTGCCATGAAAATTTCTGCCCGACGTAAATTTAGATCACGACAGGAGCTAATCAAAACCTGCCTCAACGTCAAGAGTACGCCAGAGAACTAAGCTGAAAGCAATGCAAGTCTCGGCTAAAATTGGAAAACATAACCAGCATGTTTATAACGGGTGCTAGAGAGGTAATAAGTCATATATTTCTTTAGTCTGCAGAATTCACAGATCAGGATTTTTTCGCGAACACCTTTGGCCATAAGAAACAGGGTGAATATTTCGCTCAGAAATGACAAGGAGGCATCCACGGGCTGCATGCTGCTCTCAATCCCCATTTACTACTGAAGCATCTGCACAAGAATCGGCAAGATCATAAAAAATTTAACTTGCAAAATCCTCAACCGTTCGGAGGTGGCGAAAAGTGATAAGTTAAAGGCTAGGTTGGATATCCAAATTTGTATGCATCGGGCATCCTATTCAGCTCTCTAGACTATCGGAACTAAAACCTTCCATATACAATGACTCCTTCTTAAAGTAAACCTTAGCTAAAAAACCGTAAAACGAAAACATTAAAAAATATTTCAATTACCAATTGAAATAACGTGCGCTGGTAGGTAGTAAAGCATGTAGGGACAACCGACCGACATCAATGTCACCGACAAGCACATCAGTATGAAAGTAGTATCCTTTAACAAACTTATATCCAAATACATTTCGATGCGATCACAACAAGTGCGTGGCTCATCGTCATCATCTTCGTCCTCGCCATCACTTGCGCCAACGCGAATTGGTGGTTGAGTCACTATAGCGCCGCTGAGGTCATGCAGTTCACCACGCTTGTTTAGGTCAGTGAAATTACTAACTGGTGTTGGTATCTCCATGCTTTTGCTAAGTCCACGTGTTACCACGGCAGGTGGTGAGAGCGGTTTTTCCAGATGTGCCTTTATCTTCGAGATGATCTCATCGTTGGCAAAAACATTACGACGTCGGCGGCTGCCACGATTTGAATCGGTGCCCGAATTCTTGCGATACATCCAAGTGGAATCTGTGCTGAGATCTTCCACGGAGTGCATAATACCCGAACTGCGCACTTTCTTCATTGGCTTAATGAATGTGGTCTCGCCAATGACATCCTTGACTTCGTCATCACTTTCCTGTGCAGCGGTGTTTTGTTTTTCATTTGCTGATAACACATACGTATAACATATTTTGGGTTGATAAGTAAATAGTTATAAAGTTTTTTTTTATAAATTATAGCTCACCACTTTCTTTGCCAGAGTACAGATCGTTTAGACGATTCTTTGATTCTTCCATGAAGAGGTGCTCGATGAATTTATTATTGAGCGTAGCATCACATGTGTCCAAATATGTGGAGCTAGTTAGCATACCCGTGGTGCTGGGATTTATATCGTTCAGCGGTTTGGCCGATTCCTCTTCGTCCTCGTTCAACTTGCCATGCTCGCTATTGTAATCCTCTAACGGTCTATAGAGTGTTGCTGAGACGCAGACATGAAACATGCAACAGCCTAAAATTAATATCGTTCCGTGGAATCCGAAAGCCTCTGCCAAATGTTTAATGAGCACCGGTAGTATAAAACTACCTGCAGCGGTGCCCGATACACAGATGCCGTTAGCNTTTGACTTCGTCATCACTTTCCTGTGCAGCGGTGTTTTGTTTTTCATTTGCTGATAACACATACGTATAAGATATTTTGGGTTGATAAGTAAATAGTTATAAAGTTTTTTTTTATAAATTATAGCTCACCACTTTCTTTGCCAGAGTACAGATCGTTTAGACGATTCTTTGATTCTTCCATGAAGAGGTGCTCGATGAATTTATTATTGAGCGTAGCATCACATGTGTCCAAATATGTGGAGCTAGTTAGCATACCCGTGGTGCTGGGATTTATATCGTTCAGCGGTTTGGCCGATTCCTCTTCGTCCTCGTTCAACTTGCCATGCTCGCTATTGTAATCCTCTAACGGTCTATAGAGTGTTGCTGAGACGCAGACATGAAACATGCAACAGCCTAAAATTAATATCGTTCCGTGGAATCCGAAAGCCTCTGCCAAATGTTTAATGAGCACCGGTAGTATAAAACTACCTGCAGCGGTGCCCGATACACAGATGCCGTTAGCTAGCGCGCGATGTTTGTCGAAGTACTGTGACACAATAACTACTCCAGGCGTTGTGGAAAGACCGCCACCAATGCCTAAAAGGAAGCGGTTGTTTTTGAAGGATTAATCATCAAATCCCCCAAATTTGGTATAATTTCTCAACGCACGAACTTACCTGTCAAAACTCCAAATGTTATTAGTAAATGTAGTAAGCTGGTCGCAAAGTAGCTCAACATTAGACCCAGTGCACAGAAGAGTCCACCTACAAAAACAACTGACCGGCAAGAAAACCGCTGACAAAGTGCGCTGGATACAGGCGCCAAAACCAAACACAGCGCTGAAAGTATGGCTGGTATCCAGGAAGCCACAGTAGCCGTAGAGCTCGGAAATGTTTCCATAATTTCCACATAAAGTACACCATAGGATTTGACCAATCCGGCAACCCAAAATTGTACAGAAAAAGCACCAAAAACAATTAACCAGCCGTATCCTCCATCTGGTGGATCGGCATTAACAGAGGAACGTGAAGAAGCAGAGGTTGTGCGCTTGCCCGCAACGCACTGATCCGTATCGGCGCCACTGCCGTCGGCGGCGCGTGCAGACGCATTAGCGCGTCTTGGCTGTTTACCCCCACGTTTCGCGGCTTGTTCGATCAACTGTAGTTGACGGTTCGAACGTATCTCACGCGATTTGGCGATTAGAGGCCGCGCTGTAATACTGGAGACAGTCAACAGATTTTCATTGTCCTCCTCTTCAATTTCGGTAATTTGATGTTCCAAGAGGCTGGCGTGTAAAGTGCGACTAGTCGGAGCCGGACAGTAGGGCGTATTAATGGGCAACGTGGCCGGGCGGCGTTGTATTCCATGGGTGGTGGTGCCAGCGATGGTGGCCGTGCCATCCATTGTGCAGCCGATTGCTGCACCCGCAGCCAATACCGTGGCGGCGGTGGCTGCGTCCATTGACGTGGTGGAATATGCGTTTTGCGCACTACCGCCCATTGTTGAGAAGCCCAACCCGACACCCGCTTGCAGTCCAAGCCCTCCGCCGATGCCCATGACTTTGGCAAGTCCACCGCTATTGAGTGAATCCACTTGCTTAACGTCGAGCTCTGCAAGCGGCACCGGTGGCGCCGAGACAACTGAGAAGAGCGAGCCAGTTGACTGTTGACACTCGGTAAGCAATGATTGTGGGGCGGGCTGAGAGCAAGCAACAGCAGTCGGTAGTTCACACGAATCGCCGACGAGAGATGGTGGCGGCGATGGTGGTATATCGGTGGCGGCGTGATGATTATGCTGATCGGTGATGTAAACGCCAGGTTCACCAACACTGTCCGTGGATGAGCGAATGAACCCTCCCGACTGGTGCTGGACTCCACCAGTTGGGTACGGTTCACTCGTGCAGTGAAACGGTCCCCGTGAATTCTGGAATGATATATTGAAGAAAAAGATCCAAAGAGTTAATAATCAAATTAATATCGTTCCAAAATTTAATTAAAAAAAAAAGAATGTAAATAAATTCAGTTGTACAGTAATAATTACTATTAAGGTGTACATTATGTTGCGTTTATTTTGATGTGACTTTAAGTCTACCTAAGCTGAGTGAAGAAAATGTTAAATGGGTATGGCGGATAAGATTTTATAGTGGAGCGGAAATACGATCAGAGACAAACGATAAGAGCTTACAAGAGATGCCTATTTACCGTTTTCGTCGCTTAACTATGTACCTATGTAAGCTTAGCTTATATCTTATCATAGCTCCAACCTAAATGCACCCTTAGAATCTGCGAAGGCTCAACTTCTTAGAATACTTCGGAGTCGTTTGCGTAAATTGTTTTTTGCCACTGGGAATGAGAAATAATGAGTGAGCGGGAGGAAGGGAGAGACAAAGACTACTATGACCTTACTCTAAAACTAAGATTAATACGAATTTCTTCAGTAGAATGAATAATTATAATAATAATATTTTGCGCCCCGATGCGTAATTTGCGTCTTGATGTTGTATGTATGTATGAAAAATTTTTCCGTCCTTTTTAAAACTTTTTCCGAAAACCTTTGGGTTTGACTTATGTGGAACATACCGCACAGTGTTTCGACTATATGGAGGCAGGTGGAAATAATAGTAAACCTGTACCAATTTCACTGAAATTTGATATGTGCTCTAGTTTGCCTTAGAAATAGGGAATTATGAAATTTGGTAAAGATGGCATAATTGCAACGCCTTCTACTCTTATGGGCGGAAATATTAAATTTCATCCAATTTCGATGAAATTTAGTTTGTGCTCTCTCTTTTATTAGGAAAACCTTAATATAAAATATGGGGAAGATTGTATCAATATAACGTCCAAAACTCACAAAAAATGTGTTCCCAGTCGTTAAATGTGATGGAATTCTGGTTAACTGTTTTCCTGCTTTTCACTCTCAGAAAACAAAGTTTATACTATAAAATGACTTAGGTTTAAATACTCGCTTTTTTCCCAATGTTTGGTGAGATTTTTTCATTGTTCGAAAAATTCTTTTCGCGAAAGTATGCAAAAAGAAGCTGAAAATAAAAAATTAAGAAACATTTGTCTAATTTCAAGACCTGACGGACCGGTACTCACACTTTTTTTACTAATAATCTTTAGCATCTAAATTTCAAAGTAAATTTGTTGGTAAGAAAATAGGAAAGTACCAAATAAATGATAAATACCTTCACCTAAATATTCCACGATATNGTCACTGAAATTTGATGTGTGCTCTAGTTTGCCTTAGAAATAGGGAATTACGAAATTTGGTAAAGATGGCATAATTGCAACGCCTTCTACTCTTATGGGCGGAAATATTAAATTTCATCCAATTTCGATGAAATTTAGTTTATGCTCTCTCTTTTATTAGGAAAACCTTAATATAAAATATGGGGAAGATTGTATCAATATAACGTCCAAAACTCACAAAAAATGTGTTCCCAGTCGTTAAATGTGATGGAATTCTGGTTAATTGTTTTCCTGCTTTTCACTCTCAGAAAACAAAGGTTATACTATAAAATGTATTAGGTTTAAATACTCGCTTTTTTCCCAATGTTTGGTGAGATTTTTTCATTGTTCGAAAAATTATTTTCGCGAAAGTATGCAAAAAGAAGCTGAAAATAAAAAATTAAGAAACATTTGTCTAATTTCAAGACCTGACGGACCGGTAATCACACTTTTTTTCCTAATAACCTTTAGCATCTAAATTTCAAAGTAAATTCGTTGGTAAGAAAATAGGAAAGTACCAAATAAATGATAAATACCTTCACCTAAATATTCCACGATATTTAAGTAATTGATTACAGTTGAAAAAGAAACATTTTCTTTAATGGTATCGCGCCGATTCCCATATTTCTTTGGAAATGTATCGTTCGTGAAGAACGGGGGCGAGTAAATAATGTGAAATGTGCTATTTGTGACTTTTACTTTTCCCTCCCTAAGTCCAACCGGTTTTTTTTTATCAACTGTCACCATGACTTTTTTCTATCTGCCTCCATATAGTCGAAACACTGTGTATCGTGTTCCTTTATGCTTTTTCTTCTAGTATTATTTAGGATTGAATGAATGAATAAATATTTGAAAATGACTCATCTCAATACCTAACTTTAAAAACATCCATCTCACTAAAATAAACGTATGCTTTACACAACCACAAGAGCGTTGACCCTCATATAGTGCTTATGATAACTACACGATACCCACATTTTGGCGACGTTGACTATTTATTTTTTTATTATCTAATTTTGTATAGTCATTCTATAATATAAACACAAAATTAAAAAAAAAAANAGATGGCATAATTGCAACGCCTTCTACTCTTATGGGCGGAAATATTAAATTTCATCCAATTTCGATGAAATTTAGTTTGTGCTCTCTCTTTTATTAGGAAAACCTTAATATAAAATATGGGGAAGATTGTATCAATATAACGTCCAAAACTCACAAAAAATGTGTTCCCAGTCGTTAAATGTGATGGAATTCTGGTTAATTGTTTTCCTGCTTTTCACTCTCAGAAAACAAAGGTTATACTATAAAATGTATTAGGTTTAAATACTCGCTTTTTTCCCAATGTTTGGTGAGATTTTTTCATTGTTCGAAAAATTATTTTCGCGAAAGTATGCAAAAAGAAGCTGAAAATAAAAAATTAAGAAACATTTGTCTAATTTCAAGACCTGACGGACCGGTAATCACACTTTTTTTCCTAATAACCTTTAGCATCTAAATTTCAAAGTAAATTCGTTGGTAAGAAAATAGGAAAGTACCAAATAAATGATAAATACCTTCACCTAAATATTCCACGATATTTAAGTAATTGATTACAGTTGAAAAAGAAACATTTTCTTTAATGGTATCGCGCCGATTCCCATATTTCTTTGGAAATGTATCGTTCGTGAAGAACGGGGGCGAGTAAATAATGTGAAATGTGCTATTTGTGACTTTTACTTTTCCCTCCCTAAGTCCAACCGGTTTTTTTTTATCAACTGTCACCATGACTTTTTTCTATCTGCCTCCATATAGTCGAAACACTGTGTATCGTGTTCCTTTATGCTTTTTCTTCTAGTATTATTTAGGATTGAATGAATGAATAAATATTTGAAAATGACTCATCTCAATACCTAACTTTAAAAACATCCATCTCACTAAAATAAACGTATGCTTTACACAACCACAAGAGCGTTGACCCTCATATAGTGCTTATGATAACTACACGATACCCACATTTTGGCGACGTTGACTATTTATTTTTTTATTATCTAATTTTGTATAGTCATTCTATAATATAAACACAAAATTAAAAAAAAAAAATCCACACAAAAATTAAATAATCAAAACTAGCAGAAGCACTATATAGTATACGCCAACTATGTCCTATCAGTGTGACTTTAGCCTGGTAACTTATATCTGAGAAATCATTTAAAAGACCCGCGAAATGAGGATCGAAATACTCCATATCTTTTTCGGTCTTAAAGCCGAAAATTAAACATTCACACCTATTTCCACACCTCTGAATATACACATAGCTAATAAAATTGAATAAAATTAATAAGATATCACTATGGTTTTTGTTAAGAAGATATTCATCTTATTTTCAGACAGAAGATCCTTTTAATAAAACTAACAGTTTTTAANCAAATATTTGAAAACAACGCATCTCAATACCTAACTTTAAAAACATCCATCTCACTAAAATAAACGTATGCTTTACACAACCACAAGAGCGTTGACCCTCATATAGTGCTTATGATAACTACACGATACCCACATTTTGGCGACGTTGACTATTTATTTTTTTATTATCTAATTTTGTATAGTCATTCTATAATATAAACACAAAATTAAAAAAAAAAAATCCACACAAAAATTAAATAATCAAAACTAGCAGAAGCACTATATAGTATACGCCAACTATGTCCTATCAGTGTGACTTTAGCCTGGTAACTTATATCTGAGAAATCATTTAAAAGACCCGCGAAATGAGGATCGAAATACTCCATATCTTTTTCGGTCTTAAAGCCGAAAATTAAACATTCACACCTATTTCCACACCTCTGAATATACACATAGCTAATAAAATTGAATAAAATTAATAAGATATCACTATGGTTTTTGTTAAGAAGATATTCATCTTATTTTCAGACAGAAGATCCTTTTAATAAAACTAACAGTTTTTAAGATTACTGCATTAAAAGCTTAAAATAGAAAAAATTATGAAAAAATTGCGCTGGCATGCTCTCGAACCCGGGACCTACTCTGAATGGCAGCCCTGACGGAAGCAAGTGATTTTTTTCAAATCAACTAATTGAAAGACTACTTAACAACTAATGCATTGAGTATATGTTTCGAATTTTGATACTCCTTTTTCTCAAAGTAACAATTAGTGTCTTGGAAATGTGAAAAAGCATCTGCGAAGTGCAGAACGAAAGCGCATTCAAACGAACCATACATACTTTGAAGTTGTTTAAGCCAAATTCTTTTTAAAGGAGTGGAAAATATATGCAGGGAAAGGCAATTGACTACTTCCTAGGACATCGCCACGTTAAATAAATGAATTCGTTGCAGAGAAAAAAGTGAGAATTTTAATTAGTTAAATAATAATAATAATAGATTGGCGCTTACACATATGTTGGTGTTTGGCCGAGCTTCTCCTCCGATTTGTGGCGTGTGCCTTGATGTTTTCACACAAACTGGAGGGACCTACATTTTTACGCCGACTCCGAACGAGGATTGTATTTTTATGAGAAGCTGTTTTTGATGGCCGAAATGCACTCGGATGTTTTTCATTGCCTGCCGAGGGGCGACCGGTGTTAAGAAAAAACCTTTTTTCTAAATTTCTTTGCGGTGTTGCTTTGACCAGGGCTTGAACCCAGGTGCTGCGGAGTGGAACCCGCACTGCTTACCACTACACCACAGCGGCCG